TTCGGCGGTGCTGCTCTAGGCTGGTGCGGGGTTTTGGCCTACACTTCTGACACCAAATGTTATAAATCAGGAATCAGGGAAAAGAGGTGTTTATTTGGTAGGAGCCGGGACAGGGGGGCGAGTGGTCAACAAGAATGTAGCATGGCAACGCCCGAGACAGAGGGATGCGCATTCGCGGGGGCGCGGTGTTGTCGAAAGTCGGCACAATGTAATACACACTTTATAACAATATTGACATCCAATATATATGTTGATTTAGTTGCGTATGAATCCCACCATGGTCTTTCCCAACATGTGTTTTGAATTTTGGCAACAAGTTCAATTGTCGCCTTGAAATGTAACAAATAATTCCTTTCTTGGCAACGCATAAATTTGTCACCAAAAATAGGAAAATATGTGACTTTATACTAAGGCGACTCTTGAAATTGTGACCACAAATGGTAACATGAGTCGTACAGAAAACTGAAGCGCCTGATTTTGATGGACATAGTTGGCATCATATTTGTCTTCTTATCTCACTTAAGGTGACTTCTCAGTTGTCACCAAATAAGGGCGAAAAAAAGCGAAGTTGCCAAATATTATGTGTTTGCCACAATAAAGTAACACATTTGTTCACAAACATCTTTTTTGTCTCCAAAATTTGGAAACATGTGTCACAATACAAAATACAGTGAAGCCACATGCCATATGTGCCATGTTACTGCGTTCTAAGTGGATCTATCTATCTATCTATCTATCTATCTATCTATCTATCTATCTATCTATCTATCTATCTATCTATCTATCTATCTATCTATCTATCTGGTAAGGCCCCGCCTAAACACGGCCCCACCGTGTGTCGGATGCGTTGCGCACCCTCGGCTGCTCGCGCGATGGACGTGGTCGTGGACCTCTGCCGCCCTCCCCCTCCTCCCCCTCATCTCCTCCCCCGTCATCCGGCGCGGCGTGCCCGGCGTGCCGGTCCAGGGCAACAGCACCGTCTCCGGCGGTGGCCGCCCCCTCCTCGCGCCGCTCTCGCGCGGATCGTCCTTGGCTGGCGGTGAGCTGGCCACCTAGCGCCGGCGCCCCGGGCCCCGGGCCCCGGGCCCCGTAGCGGTGCCGTGGTCCCCCATGCGTGGCATTGCGTGGCGTGCTGCCTGCCCATGGCCCTCCGCGCCCCCTCCTCCCCCACCACCATCCTGCTACTGCCGCTGACTTATGGCACTTCGCCTCACGCCTTTCGCCTTGCGTGACGATTCACGAAAAATTGAGGAGGGGAAGGGGGTAGGGCTAGCGGCCGGAGAAAGAGGAAAGGATTAAAAAACATGCGTCAGCCGCATTGAATGGGCCCTGCGCTGCTGGCCGCGGTCACTAACTGAGCGCGCCTCCGGCCCGCTGCGGTGCCATGACCGCTGCTAACGTGAGGCACCCCCCGGCCTGTCTCCCGGATTAGCAGGCCCCACTGGCCCCGCGGCGGTGTTCACAGTAGGCCGCCGTCTTCACGGTGACTTCTGGAAATCGCTGCCGGGGGTCATTTAACTCTTCATTCTTGTTAACATGGAAACGTGTAAATTCTGCAAAACGTCTTCTTAGAAGCGAAGTACACGTTACGGGATCTTCCAGAACGTACGTACGTTTTCCTCTTATTCATTCGGCAAGTGGGTTGCGGGACGCCTGCGAGATTCGGGGTAGGCACACCCGCAGTACACGCATGCCCTGCTGGCACGATGTTGCCTACCCATCGGGCGCTATGAGAGCTTGCTTATTTATTATGCTGAACTTGGCAAGTTCGTAACGGCAAATGAAATGACGAACGTACTCCCTTGATGATCCCCCATACCCCGTCTTCTGGTCACGGTGATATATGTCGATGTGAGTTTTATAAAACTGGCAGCTCTGTAACCAATTCTTTACTCATTTTGTTTTTCCTCTGTCGCACATGACCAGGTGTCCCGTGGACGACAAGCTCATCTCCCGCTTCAGGGGCACGTGGAGCGAGCAGGGCGCCTTCGAGACGCAGGTGTTCGCCTACATGAAGACCTTCCGCTTCACCGGCTCGCCCGCCCTCTACATCGAGTGCGACGTCCGGATGTGCCACGGCCGCTGCCCGGTGAGCCGTCCCTCCTCTCGCCCCGCGTCCCCGCCGTTCTCACCGCAGCGCTGATGTCCAGTTGTTCCTCATCTCTCTGCTTCACTCCTTTATGCATCTTTCTCCCTGCGGCTCTGTAAATTACAACGTTACAGCCGCCCGCGTAATCTTGTGCGGGGCATCTTTCTGTCCGCCGCGGACCCGTACTTCTGGAACCGTACGGCACATTTCGGATTATTTCATCCCGCTGCATTTTGTAGTCATGTCGTTTCCCGGACACGGCGCGAGAACAAAGTCATGACACTCGCAGTCACGCTGGCTGGTGGTGTGTGTGCCCTTGTACTTATAAAAACAAAGCGAGATATCCCAAATTTATTTGTTGTTTTTTTGTTGTGTTTGTTCGCAGAGTCAACCTTGTCACTGGAGGAACGCGAAATCGGTGTCGAAGCGATCCGTGGGCGCGCCGCTGGGCCTGACGGGCCCGCTGGGCTCGTCCCTCGGACAGGTCGGCGCGCAGCTCGGCGGACAGGGCGACGGACAGGCGGGACAGCCCACGCAGGCGCCCGCGCTGTCCGAGAACGTCAACCTCTTCCAGAGCCTGCGCGTGCTGCAGGAGGGAGAGTCGCTGGACGGAGTCACCTCGGCCAACAGTAAGTGTGGGTAACGGGCGAGTGAGCCGCGTACTTGTAATCGCAACGAAGGTGGGATCAGCGCTGAAGAAGCTGTTAATGGAAGCACGAAACGGATGCATGAAAAGAGAAAGGTGCTGCTGCGGTCTCTCCCGCCCTCCTGTGGGTTACTCCATCCTGCACACATCCTCGCGTGTGGCGGGGCCGCGGCCGCCGCGGCATACGGAGGCCAAGCGCGGGCCCACGCGACCCGCACGCGACACCTCTGCCTCCGGAAACTTGTTACCATACGAATCTCTCCCTCCTCCGCCCTCTTCGCGTCTCTGTCCGTCTCGCCTCCTCTTCTCCGCCCCATTTCATGTCGCGCCACTGTGTTTGCAGGCACGCTGTCGGACCAGCTCAACTCGGTGTGCCTCAAGTCGGGCTCGTTCCAAACGCTGCTGGGGCTGGGCTGCTCGCTGCTCTGCCTGCTGGCCTCCACCGTGCTCGTGCTCTGCTGCCGGGTGCGCCGGCTCTCGGCCACCGGCCGGAGCAAGGCGGACCGGCTGGCCAGCCTCGGCTCCGGGCTCGGCGCCGGCCTCGGCCCCATCGCCGGCGTGGTGGGCCTCGGTGGGCTGGGCGGCCTCGGCTCCGGCCTCGGCCCCGGGCTCGGCCCGCTGGGGGAGCCGCGCTTCGACCACGGCACCTTCATGACGCACAAGGGACGGATCAACTGACGGCCGGAAGGGACGTCCGCCCCGCCGCGGCCGGCCTCGGCCCGCGCCTCCGACCCCGCCGCCCCCGCCGTCGCCCCAGGACCTCGGCACCAGGACGGGCAAGGACGGCCGCCCGGCTCGCGAGATGAGTAGCTGCATGTCAAAATGTGTGTGTTGACTCTTGACGCTCGCCCTCACAAGCTGGGCCTCCATAAACCAAGTTGGGCGTTCAAGTTTGTGATTTCCGAATGAGACTGTAATTATTAATTTTGTTTTCATACTCTTACGTTTGGTGCGGCCAGCGGACCCCAAGGGACCTGTGTGTCTCGATTTTATCTTATTTTATTTTTTTGTGTTGCCGCATGACCTCTGTTTGTTGACATTAACTTTGAAAAAGACAAACTACAATTGTTTTTTTCTCGCGTCAAGTGTGGGGTGGATGCTCTGAAATCCTCTGGGTGTTGAGGAAAAGGAAACACGGTGTACAAAACGCCAACTGCCGTTCCGTACCGTCCGTGGGCCCAACCGGCGCCTCGGTGGGCCGCGGGCCGGGCCTTCCCTTTGGACACTGAACCCGTCGCTCGCTCGGTGTTCGGCCGCTGCGGTGCAAATTACCCCGCTGTCCGCAACTGCCCTCGTCCCCCCCCCCCTCTCCTTCAACTGCGCCTCGCTACCCCGTAACTGAGACCATTGACTGTCCTGGATGGGTCCGATGAGGCTCCCGTATCATTGTTTGAAGCCACGGCACTGGTTCGCTGGATCGTCCTCTCCTTACCGCTCCCTCCTCGCTCCCTCTCCCTCCCTCACTCTCTGCCTCTCTATCTCTCTCGCTCGATCCTGCTCTCGGCATTCGTCGTCACTCTCTGTCCTTCTTGCTCCCCGTGGCTGCCTGCGCTTTTTCCCCGCCCACCATTATATCGGTACCCCCGCTTTTTAGCAATCCGTGCTCGGGCGGCCCGCAGGGCGACCCGCGGGGCCGCGGAGCGGATTGTGCATCCGGTAGCTTAGGATCGGTAGTCCTCGGTGACATACTCAATACCACTGCTGTAGAATAGCACGGCACGGAAACAACAGTGTTTGATATAGTTTGATTATTTTATTTCAATTAATTTTTGCATATCCTGCAATTTTTCTAAAATACATTTGACAAAAGTGTGACTACATCCACGCAGGACAATGATATTATCAACAACGCCCGATCACTCTATTGATACAACTTTTCACTTTGCCCTTCAAGATTTGTATTTCGTACTGCTTATGTTTACCTAGAGAACTGAACGGAGCGCGACGACAAACCGCAGACGATTTTTTTTTTATTCAGTCTTTCGCCCGCTGTCCCCTTTTTTTTCGCAGACTGGGAATTCGGGCGACAGTTCGCTTTTTTGGTAGTGTGTGATCTTCATCCTCCTCGCCGCACGACCAATGCCCTTTTTTACGACCCC